AGGCTGTGAGGGAAGCAAATTGAATTAATTTATCTGGAGGATAATGATAATAAATAGTAGCAGGGATGTTAGCCAATGCAGAGTGCCAAGAGGATGAAAATTGCCATAGCCATTGTTGAACAGAAGAAAAGGAATAATGATAGTTGCACCTCACAACCAAAAATCTGAACAGCATATTTTTGACCACATGTGAACAGTCTTCCACAGCCTCATAGAAGGGAATAATGGTTTTGAGTGGGGTATGTAGCATATGAAGCCATTGTAAAGGCCCCTGAGACTGCCAAAGGGCCCCAGTGGGCATACATCGAGTAGGGAAGATAATTAAAAACATAGGCAGAGCTGGGTCAACTCTAGAAAGGTGGGCATTAGAGAGAGCTAGATTAACTTTATCCAAGGCAAATTTACCCTCTGATTAGAGTGTCCTTGGAGAGGTGGGGGCTGGGTCCCTCTTGAGGGTGTCAAAGATATGACCTAAATCATGGATTGTTAGATTAAGAGCTGGTCAGAGACAATTAATTTTACCAAGTAAAGTCTGAAAATAAGATAGCTTTGCAGGCTGATTAGTATGAATCTGAATAGTTTGAGGCACAATATGTCTTTGCTGGATGATGTAACCCAAATATGAGAAAGGTGCATGGTTTGTACCTTCTCAGGGGCCACAACTAGATAATTTACAGTATCAAGGGAATTGCCCAATTGGATAACTACTTTGTGCAAAGTGGATAAATATACATGAGCCAATAGTATGTCATTCATGTAATGAGTAAGATAAACAGACAAACTGACAAAACAGCTCCAGCCACAGACTCTTGACATAAATCAGACTATTTGCCATTCCATGTGGCAGACAACACCAATGGAAGTGGTGCATAGGGGCCTGATGATTAGTAGAACGTAGACTGAAGGCAAAACAGTTCTTATCCTGAGGATGAAGGGTAATAGTAAAAAAGAAATCTTTTAAATCAGTCACCATGAGAGAAAAATGCAAAGCACCAGCTATCAGACTAGGCAATTTTAACATGAGACTTTAACACACCAATGGACAGATCAAACAGACAGAAAATCAGCAAAGAAATAAAACAACTGAATCACGTCTGTGAACAAATGGACTTAATAGATATATACAGAATATTCCACCCAACAACAACAGAATACACATTCTTCTATGCAGGACATGGGACATTCTCTGAAATAGACCATATATTAGCTCAAAGAACATATATCAATGAATGCAAAAGAGTTGAAATTATCCCATGCACGTTATTAGATAATAGCACCATGAAATTAGAAATTAATGATAAAAGATACTGCAAAAATCCCACAAACACATGGAAACTGAATAATGCACTATTAAGTAATCAGGGGGTCACAGGAGAAATTAAAAAATACCTACAAGCAAATGAAAATACAAATACAACTTACTGGGACCTGTGCGATGCAATGAAAGCTGTCCACAAAGGAAAATTTATTGCACTAAGTTCCCACATCAGGAAAACAGAATGAATACAAATAAATAACCTGATGCTACACCTCAAACATCTAGAAAAAGAAGAGTTAGTCAAGCCCAAAGCCAAAAGAAGAGAGGAAATTATAAAAATCAGAGCAGAAATTAATGCAATAGAGACTAAGAAAACAATCCAAGGAATCAATGAATCAAATAGTTGATTCTTTGAAGGAATAAATAAAAAAGATAAACCTCTAGCTAGCCTTATTGAAAAAGGGGGGAAAAAGATTAAATTCATGAAATATGGAATGAAAGAGGCAAAATCACTACAGACTCTATAGAAATAAAGATCATCAACACCTATTTTGAAAACATACTCTTACAGGTTTGATAACAGAAGAAATAGATTTCTAGAAAAAAAATGAAGTATCAAAGCTAGGTCAAGAAGATCTATAACTGTGAGTAACCCAATTTCTAATAATGAAATTGAAAATGTAATTAAGTCATTACCCACAAAGAAGATCCCAGGCCCAGATAGATTCACTGTGGAATTCTACAAGAAGTAAGAAGAATACTTAATGCCAAAAGTCCTCTCAAGATCTTCAATGGAATTGAATGAGAAGCGATCTTTCTAAGGCAATATTGGAAGCAAATATTATTCTAGTACCAAAATCTGAGAAAGGCCAAACTAAAACAGAGAACTACAGGCCAGTTTCCCTAATGAACACAGATGCAAAAATCCTCAATAAAATATTGGCAAATAGGTTGCAGCAAATCATCAAGAAGATTGTACACTATGACCCAATGGGATTCATCCCATGCATGCAGGGATGATTCACCACATGTAAATCAATAAATGTAATCTACCATATCAATAGAGCCAAAAGGAAGAAATACCTGATCATTTCTGTAGATGCAGAAAAAGCTTTTGATAGGATCCAAAATTCATTTTTGATAAGAACCCTACAGAAAATTGGAATAGATGGTTTTACCTCAATATAATAAAGGCCCTCTATGAAAAAGCAACTGCCAATATCACACTAAATGGCCAAGAACTGAAGGCCTTTACTTTAAAATCACCAAAAAGACAAGAATGCCCCTTATCATTGCTGCTATTTAATGTAGTACTGGAAATACTAGCCATAGCAATTAGACAAGAGAGAGAAATAAAAGGGGTAAATATAGCAAACGAAGTTAAATTATCATTATTTGCAGATGCCATGATACTCTACATAGAAGACCTCCAAAACTCCATGGAAAAACACTTAGATATAATAAATAAATTCAGCAATGTAACTGGATACAAAATCAATACTCAAAAATCAATAGCATTCCTATACACTAACAAAAAAATCAGTGACAGAGAAAAAAGAAAATCTGCACCTTTCACACTAGCAACAGAAAAAATGAAATATTTAGGAATTATTCTCATGAAAGAAGTGGAAGACCTATACAGCCCACAGCTTCCTGCCAGGAACAGTCAGTCCAGATGAGCTACAGAACCCCATGTGGAAACTTATCCCAGTCTGGCGGACCTCTCTTCCTCACTTGGAACAACACTTGAAGCTTGAAAATATAGGAAAATGACAAAACAAAAGACCAAAATGCAATCTCAATCATCCAGCCCATCCCAAGAAAGCCTAGGAGCCATGTACATAGAAGAAAATACATGCCACATACCTGAAATACCTGAAATAATAGTAACTGAAATAAAGAAGCCACTCTGGGAAGTCTCAAAGGAATTCAAACAGAAATAATCTCTCAGGTAAAAGAAGAAATGATAAAAGAAATGAAGGAGATGCTGAACATATCTAAAGAAGCCACAGTTAAAAAATGGTAGGAACTAAACAAAAAGATAGGATCCCTAGATGAACAATATAAGAAACAAACAGAATATATAGAGCAGATGCAAAGAGATATACAGGAAATCAAAAACTCCATTGAAAGTTTTAAAGACCATCTCAATGACTGTGAAGATAGAATCTCAGACCTCAAAGACAAGATTGCAGCCAGTGAACAGGAAAGGAAAGATCTTTTAAAAATAACAAGAAATCAGGAAATAACAATTCAACACCTGCAAGATGACACAAAGAGGAACAACTTAAGATTGATAGGGATAAATGAAAAATAAGGGGAAAGCATAAGGGATGTCAAGAGTATATTTAGAGAAGTACTAGCTGAAAATTTCCCAAACATGAGATTGGAAAATGATATCAAGATCAATGAAGCATATAGAACTCCAAATAGCCATGACCAAAATAAAACTACACCCAGACATATAATAATGACCATTCCAGAAATCAAACAAAAGAATAGAATATTAAAACTGTAAGAGAGAAAAAGACAGATCACGTATAAAGGAAAACCTATCAGAATTACAGCAGACTTCTCAGCACAAACAATAAAGTCAAGAAGAGCATGGAGTAATGTATTTCAGATTCTAAAGGAAAATGCCATACCCCGCAGACATCTTCCCAGCCCCACACCAGTGTGGCCACCTGACACAGTTAAACTGTAAATTGTGACTTTGGAAAACCACCCCATGAGAGAGAGAAAAAGCTGACATCCCTTGGGGGAACTCCTCCTTGTTCTCATGTGACACTTTATGCCACTGGTCCCCTATCTAAGGGGAAATGTTAGGGCCTCAAGGATGTCCCAGCTCCACCTCTGAGGGTCAGTTCAGGTTAGGTCAGGCCCAGTTCTCTCCCATCTAGCAAACCCTGGCCTGGGTACCACTGAAGAGCATGATGTTGGATGGAACAAACATTCTCTATCAAGAAGTGAGCCTTAGAAATGCTGATCATTGGTCAGGCTGGGTTTGTGCCAAAGAAAGGACAGACAGAAATACTGTCTCCATGGGAGGAAAAGTGGGTAAGAAGTGAAGAGAGATGGGGCATGCAGAGGATCTGTGCAGTGCAGGTTGGGCCAGGTTGGCCAGCTCAGTGGCTCTTCAGAGCCAGGTAAAGATGGTGGCATAACGGAAATAGGAAGGAGCAGCCCTCACTCTCCACTGCTCAGGGTCCTGAGGGCAAGCTTCCCAAGAGCTGGAATGCAAATCCAAACACTATAACAGCCTGGCAAACAGCAAACTCCCACTGCAGGGAAGCAACAAGCTTGGACCCAGCTCAGGCTTGCAGTACCAATGGGTGGTAAGCAACAGCAGGGGAGCTAGGTGTCCAGGCTCATCTGCAGCCTGGCTGCTTGCTATTCTTGCTGCAGAGCCAAGTTCGCCTCTGTGGGATGGTGGCAGTCTCTTCTTAGTTTACAAAGGCCTTTACAAAAGAGGTGGGTGCACATTGGTAGCTCAGACTTGAAAATCCTCCTCAGCTGAGGCTGGAGGGCTCATAGGAACTGTGGCTGGGAGTTGGTGCTGGTTCATCCTGGCCCTGAGCCTCTCCCTGCAGGGGTCCAGGTAGGGACAAGAACATAATATTGACCTCTGCTGATTTTAGTTCCTCAAGTGGAAGGGGTTTGTTAAGACAAGCTTAGAAGAAAAGAACACAGGCAGCAGCAGTTTCTGGGTAGCTTCTATCACCGGGGGGGGGGGATATGTGTGTGTGTTTGTGTTTGTGTATGTGTGTGTGTGTGTGTGTACACATGTACAGCCACCTAGTTGGGGCCAGTGCCCAGCTCAAGAGCTTCCTCACAAGCCAACCTTGGTAACACCCCTCCCTCCCAGGGCTTCAGGGAGGGGTACTGCTGTGTGCTGTGCTGATGGCAAGTCTCGAGTCTGTATAAAAGGAAATGGAGACAGGTGGACTGGTCCAGAGTTAAGTCACAGAACCCCAACCCCATATGAGGAAAACAGGGTTGAGGGAAGATCAGAGGGGTGGGGCAGGGCATCTACAGTTTAGTGTATGTAGGCTCGGTACACTTCAGACATATCATTGTCAGACTGGTCCAACGCCTTGACTCTTTTGTATACCTCATTGGCTGCAGCTGCCATACGTGTTGGGTGGTTGACTGCACCACCCAGTGCAATGGCCAGGTGAAGATCCTTCTGAATGTATTTCAGGTAGAAATCAGGCTTAAAGTTCTCCTGTAGGATATTTTGGCACTTCTGGTCCAGGAAGATGCTGGCCAACTGTCCCTGATTGAGGATGTCTAAGAATGTCTGCTGTGACTGGCCTGTGACCTGGGCCAGGGTTAGCCCCTCTGCAATGGTGGCCATGAAGCTCCCTTGGACCATGTTTACAATCAGCATCATCTTGGCTGCATTGTCAACTTCACCTAGAAAGAAGGAGGTCTTCCCCATAGCCTGGAAGTAGCTGCTACAGTCCTCATATAGGCCCCTGTCTCCAGCTGCTAAGATCACCAACATCCCGTCGTTAGACAGCTGCTGATTCCCTGAGACTGGGGCCTCCAGAAAGCGACCCCCCCTGGATACAATCACCTGGGCCAGCTCAGTGACTGTGTCGGCATCCACCATTAACATATCCACACAGCACTTCCCAGGACGGATCCCTTGCAGTACTGGGGCCCAGCACCAGGTCCTTGGCGAAAGTGATGTCGCAAGTTGAAACAACTTCAGTGGGGGTTCTTCCTAGGCGGGCCCCCTGCTGGATGAACAAATCACATTTCTCTGCAGTCCTGTTCCAGACAGTCACTGTATGACCCATTTTTAGCAAGTAGGAGACAATGCCACTTCCCATGAGTCCAAGGCCCAAAAATCCTATCTTTTTGTCTGTGGGTATGATACTGCCATTCACAGCTGTGCTGTCTGCTGCCTGGATGGAGGTGGAACCAGTTTCCTCTTCACATATTTTCAACTTCTTTGTGATTGCCTGGTAACAAACAGCTGGCTTCTCTGTTTGGCTCAGCAAGAAATGATGGAAGTGAGAATCTGCATCTTTGACAGGCTCACTCGCAGTTGGCTGCCATTTAAATATGGCCATAGGTCCGGCCATCATCCCCTTCACAGTACTAGACTCGGGGATAGTGAGGTCCTGGTCTTTTCCTTTGGTTCTCCTGAGGAACTCTTCCAAAGCATCCACAGCTTGTTGGAATTGTTTTCCCTTGTTGATTTTTATCATTTCTTCTTTATGAGCATGATATGGCTTCAGCTGCTCCACTTTGATCCAGGCATGATCTTCTGTTCCAAAAAATTTCACAAAGAAGCATTTCTTACCACATGGTTTCTTCAAATCCTTGGGTGGATTCACAATCTTTCCTGGCCAAGGAGGATACCTGCCGAGTTTCCCCCACATCAAGTCACTGAGCCACAGACTCACAGCTGCCATCTTACCACCCAATCCCAGAAAAAGCTTTTATAAGGTCCAACATTCATTTTTGATAAGAACCTTGCAGAAAATTGGAATAGTCTTTACCTCAATATAATTAAGGCCATATATGACAAACTAATAGCCAATATCATACTAAATGGCCAAAAATTGAAGACTTTTGCTTTAAAATCAGGCACAAGACAAGGATGTCCCTTATCACCATCCCTATTTAATATAGTACTGGGAATACTGGCCAGAGCAATTAGACAAGAGAGAGAAATAAAAGGCATAAATATAGGAAAAGAAGAAGTTAAATTATCATTATTTGGAGATGACATGATACTATACATAGAAGATCCCCAAAACTCTATTGAAGGACTCCTAGATATCATAAATAAATTCAGTAATGTAGCTGGATACAGAATCAATACTCAAATATCAATAGCATTCCTATACACTAACAACAAAGTCAAAGAGAGAGAAATAAGACAGGCCACACCCTTCACAGTAGCAAACAAAATTGAAATATTTAGGAATTACTCTCACAAAAGAAGTGAAAGACCTATACAGGGAAACATTATAATACACTGAAAAATGAAATTGAGGAAGATCTCAGAAAATGGAAAGACATCCCTTGCTCATGGAAAGGGAAAATAAATATTGTGAAAATGGCCATTCTCCCAAAACTTTCATACAGATTCAATGCAATCCCGATAAAAATACCATCAACATACCTCATAGAACTCGAGAAATCACTCCTAAAATTCATCTGGAGTGAGAAGAGACCTAGAATAGCAAGGACAGTTCTAAGCATCAAAGGCAAGGCAGGACGTATCACAATCCCTGACTTGAAGTTATACTACAAAGCAACTGTAGTAAAATCAAAATGGTACTGGAAGCAAAACAGAGCTGAAGATCAATGGAATAGATTAGAAGATACAAGCACAACTACAAACACACTCAACCACCTTATCTTTCATAAAGGGGCCAAACAAGTTCACTGGAAGAACGACAGTCTCTTTAATAAATGGTGTTGGAAAAACTGGCTCTCCATATGCTGAAAATTAAAACTAGACCCATACCTATCACCATGCACTAAAATAAAATCTAAGTGGATCAAAGATCTAAATATTAAAACAGAGAGACTAAATCTATTGGCAGACAAATTGGACCAAAACCTTGAAGACATAGGAGTAGGCAGAGAATTCATGAACAGGACTCAAACTGCAAGGAAAATACTTCCCAAAGTCAAAAATTGGGATCACCTCTTATTAAAAAGTTTCTGCACATCAAAAGAAATCTCCAGTGTAGTGAAAAGAAAACCCACAAACTGGGAAAAAATCTTAGTGAACTGCCATCAGACAAAGGACTTCTGTCTAAAACATATAAAGAATTAAAAAAAAATCAGACCCACAAAATCAAAGACCCAATCCAAAAATGGGCATCTGAGATAAACAATTTCAATAATAAACAATTTTCAGATGAAGAAATACAAACAGCAAATAAATACATGAAAAAATGTTCACCATCACTGGTCATTAGAGAAACGCAAATTAAAACCACACTGAGATTTCATCTCACTCCTGAAAGAATGGCCAAGATCAAGAAAACCAACAACAACAAATGCTGGAGAGGCTATGGGGAAAAGGAACTCTCCTGCACTGTTGGTGGGAGTGTAGACTAGTACAACCTTTGTGGAGGTCAATCTGGAGATTTCTCTGAAAGCTGGGATAGGAATTCCAATTTGTTTCAGCTATTATACTTCTAAGCATTTTCCCAGAAGAACTGAAAACATCACACCACGATGATATATGTGCACCCATGTTTATAGCAGCACAGTTTATAATAGCCAAATCTTGGAAACAACATAAGTGTCCATCAACTGAGGAATGGATAGAAAAGTTGTGGTATTTTCATACAATGGAGTACTACTCCGCTATAAAGAATGGTCACATTAAGATATTTATAAAAAATGGACGCAGCTTGAGACCATACTCATAAGTGAAATAAATCAAACTCACATATATAAATGCCGAATAGTTTCCCTAGTGTAAAAAATGATAAGAATACATAAAAGTATGTGGTATTCATAATTCCCAATCATATTGGTTTAAAGCCACATAAAGTTTTCACTCATTAATTTCAAAAGTTTTAACCTGGGTTGTTCAATTTTAGTATTGGTGATAGTATGAATAGCTATTTTGAAGAAAACAACACATCATAAAAGCCAGCGCTGATTTAATATCATCTTGTTTTGAAGTCCCATCAAGCTGTTGTACATCTGTTTCCACTGGTTTTAACATGTTGTATCTTACTATATTTTACTATATGTGATAGTATAAACAAAATTTTTTATAGGCAAAGAGACAGTATAGAAACCATTGTTTATTTTCTGTTAACTGGTTCCAAATACCCTGTAATTTCTTCATTCTCTTGAATAGCTTCATATTGACTTGATATGCTTGATACTATGGTATATGAAATTATACTCAAATAATTCAAGGAAGGAGGCACTATGGTGACTACTATTATGTTAGATTATCTGGGGGTGAAACACAATGATGCTTAAATTGTTCGGTTCTGACCTGTGCTGTTCTGTTACAATGTCCTCTTTTATCTCAATCCCCACCCTTTTTAAAAAATTAATTTATTTTTCTTATTTTTTTCAATTAAAGGACAACTAAATTAAAAATAGTGGGATATATTATAGTAACTTTTTTGATTTCCTATTGACCTGATTTGAACCCCCATATTGCTCTCCCCATCTTGTTATGTCTGATTTTACTATATTCTATTTTGTTTGATAGTATCAAGTTTGATGGTATAGGCAACCACTTGGAAGGCAGTAAGATTTACTATGATGCCCATTATGGTTTGGCTATTATCTTCTGTTGAAGTCCTGTAAGGTCTCCAGTGTAGGTTTTATGGGTCTTTTTCAGTACTGCTTTGATCCATTCTATTATACCTGATGATATAGGCAACTCTTTTTAAAACTAGCAAGAGGCATGATGGAAACCATTTTTGATCATTTGATATTCTATTTTTGCATCAGGTACTATGCCCATCCTTCTGTTCTAACCGACTTGGTTTTGTTCAGTCATGTTAGGTTTTATTCTCTTCAAAAAAAGTAATAAGAACTGTGGGAGTAAAAAAAAAAACCCAAAACTGTAATTGTTATTGTAAAAGAGAGAAAAAAGGAAGGTGGTCTAAGGGATATAACTGCATGTATGTTTGAGTGTGTAGGATAGAAAACCATATTACTGAGTTTTTGTTGGATCATTGAACCCAACTGTCTGCATACTTACTGGATGAATGCCCACTTTATATGCTTTAATTTTATAATTTGGACAACTGTTTATAAGATGATAATGTGTAGCCTATTAACTAGTGATTTCTTACTGTATATTTTTTCTTGAAATTCTGTATTATTTGCACCCTGTTACTGTTTTCTTTTTTCTCTTAAATTAAAAAATATTGGAAAAAATGGAAATGTTAAGAAAACATAAAAATATGTGGAATCATGATTCCCTATTATATTGCTTTGAAGTCTTATAATGTTTTCATTCAGTAATTGGAATGGTTTCATTCTGCGTCATTTGATTTTATTATCTGTTATGGTATGCACAATTATTTTGAAGACAACAAGACATCATAATAGCTAGTGCTGATTTAGTATCATCTTGTTTTGAAGTCCCATTAAGCTTTATTTCTTCTGTCTCCATCGCTTTTACCATGTTGCATCTTATTGGATTTCAATATATGTGATAGTATAAAAAATTTATAGACAAGGAGATAATATAGAATCCATTTTTCATTTTCTGCTCATTGGTTATAAATACCCTGTAATATTTTCATTCTCTTGAATGATTTTACACTGTCTTGATATGTTTGATGCTATAGTATATGTAGTTATACTCAAATATTTCAAGGAAAGAGACACTGTGGTAACTACTGTTATGTCGGGTTATTTTGTGGTTAAACACTATGTTGCTTAAACTGTTCTGGTCTGACCTGTGTTGTTATGTTGCTATGTCCTCTTTTATCTGAATCTCCTCTTTTTTAAATTTTCTAATAAAAAATCAAAATACAAGGCTGGAGATGATGTTGAGTTATAAAGGCTCTGTGTTCAATACCCTGTTCCATGCACCAAAGAATATGGGCATGCATAGACGGTAAGTCATTAATATATGTCAACAATGGGAAGCTGTTTATTGGGTGATCACAGTAGTTTGCTCATAATATTTCACATATGGGAAATCTTATGCTAATTTGAAGCCAATAGCCTGACTGACTAATTTAAATCAACTGTAATCATTTAAAGAAATTTCAAAATAAACACTTTGCAACCTTGAAAACTCACCAAATTACAGTAATTAGGGAAAGGACCACTGATGTCAATGTGCAGATTTAAAAGCAATTGGAAGGAGTGTACTACTGGATTTCTAAGTGTGTAGCTGCTCCTCAACATACCTACAACCAGGCAGATGAGCACCAGATGGTGGACATTGTCCATGTCTGATGAGTGCTACAGTGAGGACTTGTGTTTGTTACCCAGAGTTTACAGTAACCATACATTGATTTTATCAGAAGTAGTAAGAATTTCATGAGTAATTTGTGCAACTATCATGTCAAAAATGAACTGAACCATTCACAGTGGAGTTCAGTTTGAGACCTGTCTTTAAATGGTTTTTGTGACGTTGTGTGTGTTGTGCTTTTACTGTCATATTGTGAAGAAATGGAGGAATGCTCTTGGATGTGGAACCATAAAATACTTTTATGGCCGTTTTTTTGTTTGTTTGTTTTGCTAGTACTGTATTTACATCCTTTTCTGCTTTCTTGTGGCTAAATCGAAGAATGCCTTGTAAACTAGTTATGCTCTAATACAGTTAGGTGCCTTTGCTGCTATCTTGTGATCAAATGGAAGAATGTACTTGAACGTAAATGCTGTTTCTTATTACTGTATTTTATGTGCTTTTGCTACCATTTTGTGGCTAAATGCACGCATTTTTATGTAAATGGTTTTC